CGTAAGGTAAAATTTTAATACATCATTATAAATATTTTTATTATTATTATTATTAGTACAAAAAATTAAAGTACTCGGAAAGTCTAATAATAAACTATATCCTAATGAAAAAAAAAAAAAAAAAAATTTTATTTATTAATATTAGTTTAAATGTCAGTACATAAGATTTTTTTTTTTTTTTTACTTTAAACAATAATAAAAAAAAAAACGTAAGTAAAAATTAAATAAAATTGTATAAAAAAATAAAAATACAAAATTTCCTTTTTTATAAAAACTTTTTAAATAAAATTAAGAGGTACATTTTGAGCTAAAAAATAATAATAATAATAATAATAATAATAATAATAATAATAATAATAATAATAAAAGTTAATCAATATTATAATAAAAAAAAAAAAAAAAATTATGCAAGCAAAATTATTAAAGTTAAAAATAAACTTTATAATATTTCATACTCTTAATTTAATTTAATTATTTATTTATTTATTTCGAACAATAATTTAATTATAAACGTTCCTCATTGTATCCCCTAAAATAATTATTGTTTAATATTATATATCAATATTATATATATAATAACCTTAAGAAAAAAAAAAAAAAAAAAAGAAAAAGGAAAATTCAAATACTTAAATCTTAGGTTCAATATTATTATTTTATTAAATAACATAAAATCGTTTAAACACGTAAAAATACTGAAATATTAAATATGGTATACGTGTTTACCCCTATTAAAAAAAAAAAAAAAAAACCTAAAAGAAGACGAAAAAATAATAATAATAATAATAATAATTATACTTAACACCGGTTTTTAGAACATCATGAATTTTGAACGCGGGGCAACGTGAATTCTCTTCTTATGTAAAATAATATGTAAGGTTTACACTTGGCAACTGTTGCTTGTCCTGTTGGACGAACCGTGCTGTCGTTAAAATGAAACCATTCTCCATCGTTAATTGCGAATGCTGTATAATGACCGCATCCTACCCTGTAAAAAAAAACAAAGATAGAAAAATAAAATTATCAAAAGGTAAATTATTATTATTATTATTATTATTAAGGTATTCCTTTTACCCAGATCCGTGATGGACGATAACAGCTGCCAAATCGTATAAATTTGTTCCAGCTCCGCTTTGTCTAGTTTCGTGTATATTACTTAGTACGAATTGTGACATGTCGAGAGCCGTCGTTGGAAAAACTATTTCGGTGTCGATTTTTGTTCGGAAATGTGAATTCCAGCGAAATCTTTTCAAGTGAAGACACAACACCTTTTAAAAAAAATATTCATTACTTAGTTGTGGCAATTGTGAAAGAATTTGCAAAACTAAATAATGAAATTTGTAGTTTAAATTTTAAATTGAATTTAAATTAAATTTGACCGCTTTTTTGGTTTGCATTAAAAAGCTTACGTTCGGCAATCTTCTGATCCAAAATCTTTTTGTCGATCTTTGTTTACTCTTACAATTGTTGCAATAATACAATTCAGTTTCGGCCAATTCTTCCACTTCTATGAAACTTGTCAAACAATCTAAAAAAATTTAATTTTTCAAACATAATTTTTAATTAAAAATTAAAAAAAAAAAAATTTCAAATTTTTCTCCAATTTAAAAATTTACCAGCAATTGTGCACGGCGGTAATGTTTCATCTAAGTCTTTAGTTTTCTTTTGACTATATAAATATTTATCTGGTATATCTAATGATAAAT